GTGGTGATGAAAATTACTGTATATCAGTCGGCCATCATTCATACAAATGTAACTTAGCAAATAATTCACTGTAACCTTGATAATAGTGTGTTATTGTAATGCAATGGGTGTTATTACTATTAAAGTCTGTGATCTGTACCATTACAATAGCTATTAAGTGAAACTTTTCTCTTGTTTTTCCATCACAGAGACCATTACTTCCAATAGAATGTGGGAAGACAATAAAAAAAGAAGTAACTACCACATAACAAGAGTTGTAGAGAATTTGACCACAGCAACCAGACAATCCTGAAATATTGTCAGAGATCATTTATGTAAAAAAAAATTACTTTTGTTTTTTTCTTGCCAATGCCCCAGGAGTTGCAACACTGACCATGGAAAAACATGTAGCATTTGGAATGTTACAAGTAAATTTATTTCCATGAAATTGTAATACAATGCACCAGGGCCAATTCATTTATTGAGTCTCTCCATATTAACACTGGGGAGGTGTATGGTATAACACACTAGGTTTACACTATAGATTATTAGTTTATACTTGTAGTACAAGTCTTATTCTAGGCTGTAGCAACAATGCCAAGTTTGACTTTCTGTCATTTCATCAAGTCATTAAATGGGTAGTAAATAAACACTTGATACCTTCAACATTTTTGTATTTATATCCGGGATACATTTGATTCAGTAATCAAGCACTTCCATGTAGATATTTTATAATATCAGTTTTCTACTAAGCATGTTGATAGCAAGAATAACATTGTGTCAGTTTTGCACGAGTGGTTTTATTATATTTTCAATACAAGCAGATTAACATTACATGTTATAGAAATTACCTTGTGAAGACTTAGATGTTCTGAACATTAAACACACTGTTCATATAAAATAACTCTATAATGTAACAATTTTCTCAGTTCCTTTTGTGTGCATCAGAAAAATTTGACACAAACATTTTTTTGATTGACTGCACATGTCATAATTACACCAGTAACCAAAGAAACATATGACAAAGTACACTAAACATAAGAATCTTGCCCACAATTCAAAATATTTGGGGACTTGCGTATTATCTCATTAAAACATAAACCAAAAATTGGATTTATTGTACACAGGACTATTGACACACCTCTGTACAACTATAATAGAGCAATTCAGTATTTACATATGATCTAACTATTCATACATACACATCACCATATTTTTGAAAATCATGGGCGGGGGGGATTATGAGGGGAAAATAGCACCCAGAAAATTAATAAATTTTTACAATGTCACAAAATATAGTAATGCACCTCTCATTTTAAGAAAGAAAGAGAACATTAATCTGGGATTGTTAAAATAATGTGTTATTTTTTTCCCCACTCGAAATTGTGTGAGTTTGTTCACATTTCCCTGAATTCAATCTTGATTTTGCACCAAACTGACGAAATGTGACATTGCTTTTAGTTCACACAAATAGATCAAAAACACTTCTCTTTATAGTTGTAAAACAATGAATAATATCTTCAAGTAATGCCACAAAGCAATCTTTGAAAGAGACAATGTGCCAGCCGTCACATGGTGTGTATACATCCAATGGGATCCATATTGAACATGATCTGTTGTAGCTGGTGCTTTATGTGTAGCATCGCATGTAATTTTATCTCCAACGCGACTAAAGACGATTACCACATTGTCTTCCATTGCATGAAGAATACAATATGTGGATTACACGAGATAAATGCATCCTGAACCTCTATTCTGTAACTCAAAAAACAATGATTATGAATCAACATTATTATAGCTAGCACTTAAGTGCATTACAAATTCATTACATTATCCACAATAGAAGGAAATAAATAGAAGGAAATAAAAAAAAAATTGATTTTAAATTCAGGAAAAACAAGCCATGTATAACACAGTCCCCATTATCAAATTTAAGATGTATAGTTTTGTTTATACAGTAGTAATATAGTTTGAACATAAACTGAGAAGCTAATGATTGACATTCAGTCATCTTGTATCTGATACAAGATATTGCTTAAGAATGCATTAGTTAAACCAAATTGACATGCATCAAGATCCCTTCATGTTCAACATATGTTTCAAGTTTTTTTTTTTTTTTTGTTTTTTTTTAAATATTTTTGTGCCAGGCGACAGTTCTGGACATTGAATATCTCCGTTGTCTCTCCTGACTTTTTTTTGTATGTGCAAATTGCAAGTGCTAGTGCTGACACAGTGCATTTTCCACAGAAGTCATATTCATGTTTGGGACTACATGACAGGGCTGTGCGGCCATCTCTCTGTCAAATGTCAATTTTAATGCGCTATCCTGGCGTCAACCAGGCTCGGTCGAACACAAGCACCTGCGGACCTTAACAAAGGTTCCCCAAAAGTCGCATTCGTTAGCGAATGAATCTCGGCCAGTGGAATTGGCCTTCCCATTGAGTCTGTGGCACACTCACCCAGGGTAGGGGTTGACCCTTTGATGTTCAGCCTAAGGTAGGATTTGAACTTGGGTCTACCGGTCATGAGTCTGGAGCGACAACCACTATGCTACCAGTGACCGTTTCAAGTTTGAGATCCAGTTCCAAAATGCCAGAAATGCTGGATTTTTTAGCACAAAAATGGCCACCATTCAGCCATTTTGAATCGGATCATCGACCCAATATCTATGATGTTTTATGAATATATATAAAATTTGAACATAATCAGTAAAAGCATGTCAGAGATAAGGCATTAGAACCACATTCATTAAAATAAAATGGCCACCAGTCAGCCATTTTGAATCAGATTTGAAAAAACAAAATGAGATGCATCAGGGACCCATAATGTCTAAGTTTGAACAAAAACCATCCATAAACGACTAAGATCTGGTTCTGGAAATGCTTGATTTAGATGTTTTTTTTCAGCACAAAAATGGCCATCATTCAGTTATTGATGTACAATGTATGTGTGAAGATTAAATGTAATCGGTCCAGGCCTGTCCGAGATGTAGGTCCAACCACACACACAAACAGAGGTCAAGTCCTCGTTTTTGGATGGCATCTGAACAGGGACTAGCAAACTTTGACAATTATTGAAATAAACATTTTATTTTACAATTTTGTTATAAAAGCACCACAAATAAATTTGAAAAATTGGTTTATAATTATCTAGATTCTATTACCACAAGTTCAGGTTTTATATTCCCATGCATTTAATTGTGAAGATGCATTAATTTTAACACTGAGGACATGATGGTTTATTACTGTGTTTAGGGGCACCTGTTTAACACACAGTACAATCCTAGATGCTCATTTTAAAAATTTTAAATTTTCAAAGCCACCTGATAACCCAGCTTGGAAGTAAAATTACGCCCTGACTGTAAAGATTATGTGACCTACTTTATTATGCCTTTGCGAAATCAAATCGGTTTTCATTTTCATACAGCACTATGAGCTTTACATGGATTGAAAAAACTGTCTTGCATTATGACTTCATAGCTGTCATATGTTAGTGTTCTAAACATATGACTGATCTCTACACACCCAGGAGAACGCTGATTTGTTATTTCCATGTGCCAAGATGACATTACACACCAGGAAGCAAGTAATTTGACTGTCTCTCTTATATATTGTATAGTGATTCCCTTTGACTATGATTTTTCTCCTTGCCCTGTTTTCTGTACTTCTGAATTTTTCGCTTCCAATTTTTGCGTTTCCATTGTTACAATCCTATCAATGTTGCCAGGCGGTGGGTAACTCCTTGCCATTGTACTGGACTGTTCGAAAACACCCCTAACCTTAGGCAGTGTGTTTGCCTTACTGCTTTTAGTTCCACTGGTGTCATGGAATTTTTTAAATGGTGACTCGGAGCTGAATGTTATACTAGGACTATTAACGTTGAATAGTGGCCTGACTGGTTCTATGAGGGATGTACTAGCGTCAGAAGCAAACTTCACGTTTTTTCTCACAGGACTACCATCAGATACACTGTCCACTGAGCTACCACCTGTAACAGATGATGACGCAGACCATGAACTGAGTGGACTCTCGCGACTCACTGGTGGTGAATCCTTAGTTAAATGCTCATGGCTGTTTTTTCTGTGTTTCATAGCAGACTGACTCGCTGGCACTTTCACACCACCATCTCTCTGTTCTAGTTGGTTGTACAATTTCAAAATGTGTGCTTCTAATCGCTGATTAGTTTTTTTCAGTGCTTTGTATTTTCCATCCATTGCCTATAAAAATAAATTGTCATATTTATTACACTTTGTGACAAATATTTTCTAATCTATGTAAAACTAATTTGTTCTACACCCATCTTAAGTGACCATGCCCCTATGTTTAGGGTTGGACAACACTGACAGAAGCAAATGCGTCTTTGTTTACAAACAATTCACACCTTTACTTCGTCCAATGCTTGGCAGACAAAATCCGTAAAAGAGTTTTGATGTAAAAACCTTCATGACATGGACAACATAATTTTGTAATTTTGAATTGAAACAACATTAAACAAGTCATTGTCAAGTTCCTGTCCAGTTTTTAGTTACTATGACAATTAAAAACAATGACAGATGTATGTAGATTATAATTAAATGTTGCAGTATTCAGCATGTTAATGTGTTACCCACCCAGTACAGAACTTTCTTGAACAAAGTCTAATGCAGACGTGTAGAAAAACCATCATCTATCTTATTCTAACCAAAATATGATTGATATGTTCAAATGTTTTTTGGGACTTAAATAGCCACCAGTTTGTCAGAGGTAAAATGAAAAACAAATGTACACGTATAACTATTGCAGAACCTTACTTTGGAATTAAGGGGTACTTATCTTCCAAGAACAAAATTTATAAAACGGCTTTAGCATATAGAAACAGTGCACCAAGGCAATTGCATTTAATACCCCTGTAAGTTCATGTCCTATTATGTCGTCTTCGTACCCATTTTTTTTTTACAGCTCAAGCATGCTCAAGGAAAAAATGAAAATAAAACCAACTTGACTCCCAATTATTGTCTGCGTTTACAGTTTGAATGAGATCGATCAAAGACCATCTGAGATACAACTCCAGACCCCAAATTAATAGTCCCTGTTTTCAGACGGTGGCTGAATGGGAACTAATAACTGCAACTTAATCATCTGAGGTGAACTGAAAATTACTAAAACTTTCTTGCTGTAAATTATTTTTTTAAACATGTCCACCAACTAGAAAATACAACATAAATCTTTCCATATTTGGAATTTACATTTCCTAATAAGGTCAATCAGTCAATCAAATCAAAACTTAGTGTTTAGTGTTTTACAGAACGGCCATTATTGTTTGTTTTTATGACTTTCAACGTTTTAGAAAGCCACAAAATGTAAGTATACAAAAAAAATATTATAAATATTTGTAATTTAGAATAGATCAATAATAACATATAATTAATTCACCTGTATCTGCCCTTTTGAAAGACTCTTGACATTTTCAAGAAATCGTTTTTGTTCTGCAGCTGTCATTTCTTTGTTGGACAGCGTAGCTTCTAATTCACTTATCCTTGATGTGTAAGCACTAATCTGTTGAGTTAAATGCTGAACTTTATCTTTGTAACCTGTCAATTAAAATAATATAAAATCACACAAGGAAATAAATCCTTCTATACCATTCCAACAATGACATGAGGTACATGTGTAAGCAGGACAACCCCACAGATTTCACAGGGTAAGCAGAACAACCCCACAGATTTCACAGGGTAAGCAGGACAACCCCACAGATTTCACAGGGTAAGCAGGACAACCCCACAGATTTCACAGGGTAAGCAGGACAACCCCACAGATTTCACAGGGTAAGCAGGACCACCCCACAGATTTCACAGGGTAAGCAGGACAACCCCACAGATTTCACAGGGTAAGCAGGACAACCCCACAGATTTCACAGGGTAAGCAGGACAACCCCACAGATTTCACAGGGTAAGCAGGACAACCCCACAGATTTCACAGGGTAAGCAGGACCACCCCACAGATTTCACAGGGTAAGCAGGACAACCCCCACGGAATATGTCAACAGAGGCTGGTCTAGAATTGGTCAAGATTATTGGATTTTACTAAAAGAATAGAACTATTGTAACTATAGTATATATTTTCAAACCCAACTACATTTATGTTCAGTTTGTTGTAGGTTCCATGGGACCTGTCACAAATCCCAGAAAAGTTTACTAGGCGATCAGAGTTATTTCAATGCCATGACAGTTGATAATGTCGCTGTTCTAGTTTTTGATTGCTGATTTGTCTGTCCTAATGCATGTTTAAATACATTATGCCCCATATCTAGTATGTTACCAATAGTCACACTGTACCAATTAGCCGTATCCATAATCATTGAATATAACAAGACTGTCATGCATGTACTGGCTTCAGAGGTGATATCTAAATATTTATAATAAGTATCATAATGTGCACGCGCCATCGTTGTATGTTGTTGTTGCTGTCGTCTACTGCTATTTGATCAAGTGCCAGTTGTTTGAACGATGTTGTGGAACGGGGAAGACGATTTTTGGTTTTTGTCGACGATAATATTGACTGGGATTTCATTTTAGAAGAAGGGGTCATCGTGGCTTAGATGATATTGCAAAAGACATAAATGCGCATATAGACCATAGAAATAGCTCTGTGATCCATGACATGTATGTGTACCAAATGTGAATAGAATTCATCAAAGCATGTGCAAAATATGACAATACATGCACGCACACACGCATACATGGAATCGAAATTACTATTTACCGTTTTCGAAACTACCGTATGAATAGACTATGACTGGCAATGATGGATAAATCTCAGGGACTTGACTTAAAATTCATAAAAATTACTTTTACAGTACTTACAAACCAACTCTTCTTTGATATTTTTTTCAATTATCAGCTTTTCATCGTTACTACACTTTGTGTTCTCTTTGGTTTTTTCTAAAACCTTTTGTTGAAATTCTGACATTAGCACCAACTGCTTCTTAAGTCTGGAAACCTAGCAAAAAATAAAGATCAACTATCTCCATGTCTTATGCTGAAAGCCCAGTCACAAGAAATCACAAAAACTTCCATGCTAATGAATAAATCTTGGCCAGTGGGGTTGATATCCCCATTTGAGTCTGTGTCAGTCTTACATATTGAGTTGGTTTGGTTTTCAACAAAAAGAAAAGCAAAATCTTTATACAGGATTCTGACGTAAATTCGCCTTAGGCCATTAAATGGTTTGGGTTTTTAAAAAAATAAAATAGAACCAAAAAAATTGCCCAGTTTCGGCAGTTTTTAAGGTGTTTTTTTTTTATATTTTGGGAAGACAAATTTAAATTCTAAATGGTACTTTTAAATCTGTTGTCAAAAAAAATGTACAATATAACAAGCAATCTGCGTGAAATGATACACCATACCATAGGTAACTCTGTTTGAAATCTGATATTTTTTATTTCTAATTGATACATTGTATGCTTTTTATGATTAGATCAGGGAGAAGGCCTTGTTCAAGTGGACGGGGCTATTGGGATAATCTCCTTGACACACTCATACATTTACACTCTAAGGACGCAAACAAAGATTTTCATTCCCAAAATAATAATTTAATTAACGATGCCAGTAACAATTTAGCTGCTGGTGATTGTTACTAACTTAAAACAAAGTCCAACATGGTCTCACACTCACAGAGGGTCGCGTTGCGCAGTTTGCAACATTGGGTTTCTTGTCACTGACCAGGAATTCAAGATATCCTACGCAATTGTCCCTTTGAAGTCAATATCGCATAACATGTTTTATGACATGTTCAAACCAAACAGATCTTTTCAAGGCCACTACATCTCCTAAGAGTATACAAACTACCATGTTGTATTTTCAGATTTTATTTTTACCTACTTATTTTTACCCAGGATTTTCACTTGGGCTCAAATAAAATGTTTGTGATGTATTCATCGTACCAGGTTTGCTAAAGAAGAAAAATGACACTGGGTGACAATGTAATAAAATTTTAGGGGTCTACTTTTTAATTCAGCATCTCAGGTGCCTGGAAACCCCTGCTGTGCGTAGAACAGTAACTGTAGCAACAAGAAAAATCAAAGAAAGCTTAGAAAGAACTCCCATGTGCTGAGAGTATTGGAAACACATTAAATATAATTCGAAATTACTTAGCTGAAAACTAATTATGCAAATCAGAAAATTAATATGACCAGATTTGAGTGTAAAACTAATGAGGTCTGCGCAATGTAACAGAAAAT